CATCATCATTAACTCAAATCAACTGGAAATTATTATTGCTAAATATTTTATAAATCATTATTTTTAGATTACCCGAAAGTCATCCTGACGATAACCATGATTGGCAAGTTTTTCTGCTCGGCATCATTCTCGTTTGTGTATATCTATACTACTGAACTATTCCCTACAGCGATCAGGTATAATCATATCTCACAGAGGTATTCCACGAATAAACATATAAGCTCTAAAGGTCGTCATTCGTTTATCCATCCACAGTCTTTCCTGTTGTGGTCTCATCTTTGATTATTCTTTTCGGATAAAGCTAAACAAACATAAACATCATGCCGTTCTTTCAATCGCTTTGGCTTTCATTCAATAATTTGTTTTTTTCACTATAGTTCGTAATCTCATTCTTCGTTTATTTTTCTCCAACTAATTCGTTCAAGCATACGTTAATTCCGGTTTTTCTTTTACATATATCCATTTATTCATTCATTCTCCATCATTCAGCTGTTAACCTTTCCTTAAAAAGTCTCTTCTCCCAATGTGACTTGACTACTGTAGAAACATTACCGCTAACGAGGAGTCCTCACTTGTTCACTTTAATGTATTTACTATATTCCTTGTATCACAGAAACGTGGCAGTAGGGATAGGGTCCATGTGTGGCCGAATTGGTTCAATTATCGCTCCTTTCATTGTTATGCTGGTAAGTACTTCGGTAGCCGAAAATTGTAGAATSGAAAATATAAAAGGATTTTCTTAGACTGTAACATTATTCAATTATTCCAAAGCCATTGAATTGGGTGGTAACTTACATGGCAACGCGCTAGCCGATTGAATCTAATAGAGAGCGCTTGAAAAATTCAGTGTAAAGGCAGAGTTCTGCTCCTTTCCGTTTGACTTCTGAGACTACACTAAACTAGGTTTGTTAGGACGTGTTATTAAAGCTGATACTAAATTCTTTGGCTTCGCAAATAGGAAGTGAATAAATTCTTATGCTATTGTAAATGCAAGAAAAGGCTAAAATTAGGACTACCGCAAGTAATCGCTGTCGCTATAGTTAATCTTTATGTTGATAGATATCATGCAATAACCATAGTTGTTGAGTAATATAGTTCAAGTGTTCGTGTCATTTTATTTAGCCATTCCGTGGCTTCTTGACAGAGGGGACAGTCCCCTCTACTAACTCTGGTAAATAGAAGAGCCTGCTTTCTCTTTAAATTCAGTGACTGATGATAGCATGTTTTCTTTTTATTGATATGAATGTTTTTCACAATAGTCCCAGCTTCCAAACGTGAGTGTGACTCTACCAATTGCCATCTTTGGTGTTGTAACCGTTGCAGCTGGTTTACTCWCATTGTGCCTCCCAGAGACGCTTGGTGAAATAATGCACCAAACGATAGAGGAGGCAGAAACWTCACCGGACAGCTACACAATACCCTGCTGTCCTTGGAGAAAAGACTTTGGGAAGATACCAGTTGAAATTATCGATGAAGAAGCAATTAAAATGACAAAAAAATGACTTGGAGATGAGTTGGATTGGACACACAAGAATGATATCTTATTAGTTAAAGTAGTGTTTAGAAAATAATGTGCTTAAATTATTCCATATCATGATTGGATATTGAACCATCTTCTATTGTAATCGTTAAATGGTGACTAAATAGACTAACTATCTTTTAGATAATTAAGACTTATCTGTAAAAAACAATTTTGTTTTTACAATTAGAGCAAAACGCAGGAAAACCATGAAATAAAATCAAACTAAATACTAGCAAATAGTGGCTATTTAGAGACAATTTGTCAGTATCAATGAACCAGAATGCAATCAAGATAAATCCACATGAGAAAATTTTTCATTTATCTTGCTTGCGTTCTGGTTCTGATTGTCTCTTAATATTTCATGGTTTTCCTGTGTTTCTCTAGCACATAAAACACTGACTGATTGTTAGTAATACTCCAGTTAAAAAAGTGAACTTTCAAAATAAGGAGTTGCTCACTAGTAGTCTACTATTTCAAGAGCCAAGTGTATCGACTCTATTTGTTTTAAGTAGTATTAAATTTTTCTGGGTCTCTGAACTAAATATAAAAATAAACAATAGGTTTAAATAAATACAATAAAATTGCAACTTCACTAATATAAAATTCAGAAATATTTCGCCAAAGTTTGCGCTTCAGCAGCCATCTCTTCCTCGCTCCGACGTCCTGTTTGCCGCTTATTAGATGCGTCAGTCATATCAAGTTCATTCATTTCCTTGTAAATTTCATCATTGTCCTTGTCATGCTCAGCTAATTCCCGGTAAATATCATCATTATCCAGAAAATCGCCCTGTTTTCTTGGTAATATATGTACGTGTACATGTTGAATGGATTGCCCTGCTTCAGGTCCGTCCTGTATTGATATGGTAAGTGAAGTTCCTTGGAATTCTCTTTCCACAACTCGAGCGATTTTCTGGGTACTGCAAAACAAGTCGGACACTTCATCTGCTGTAAGCTCCGCAAACCTTTTGACGACTCTCAATGGGGAAACTAGTACGTGTCCTGGAACTACTGGCTTTATATTTACAAAGCCAAAAGATAATTTTGAACGGAAGAATATAACTGAAGGAGAAAGAACGATTTGGCCAAACCTCATCGTATTGGACGCCATCTTGGATTGAGACCACAATGCTTTGCAAGAAATATCGCGTGGTTACTAAATAATCAAAATGGCGGACGATAAAGTAAGTAAATGTGATTCCAACACAAAAGTTGTAATACCCCGTGGAAAACCTAAATCTGGTCGAATATGGAAGAGTGAGAAAGATAAGTAAGTGAGAATTTTATATATCAGTTTTTTCTAGCATTTCAGGAGACAATTCTGTCGTGAAATTCGACATTTTTGAAAGCTTTTTGCACGTGTTAGAGATGTTTACGTTGGATGTGGATTGTTAGAGGGCTTTTGAAGCTAACAAAGTGTTTTTGTATTCTTTTGCTATGCAGGAAATCAAAAATTGTCAATGTGAAGCCACTTAAGTCAAGCTGGAAAAAGAAACAACAAGACAAAATGAGTAAAAAGCTTCTTAAAGCTTATGAACAAGAACTCAAAGAAACTTCTAATAAAGAGAAAGAGGTAACTTAAGTCTTAAGCTTACACATTTAAATGAGTTAAAATGCACATTCCTTATAAACTGATTCTAAAGCTTTCGTCTTGAATGTCTAATATTATCTAGGAAAGACGTAAAAGAATAGAAGAAAAAAGAAGACGGAAGGAAGAAAATGAGAAGAATTCACAAATCGTTCAAGTTGTAAGTCAATCATATGCATGTAGCATGAACTATTACTTAATAAAAAACTGGGTACAGTGTATAAATCTGTCAATCTCTGGTCTATAAACCTGATGTCAACAAGTATATTGTAGACCATTTCATGAGTACTAGGCTGAAGATGCATAAATAATAAGAAATTAGTTAATTGTAGAGGGATTTGCAATATACCTGTAGAGTTATATACATCCTTCATGTTGATATACTAAATGCTCAGTTGTACACATAATGTACAAATGGTGCACTGTAGAAAAGAGGGTTGAGCACATAAAATAACATTGAAGTTCACGAGTTTAATAGCCTGCTATATATTGCATTGGGCTCTTCTGAARATTTCAGTGCCCCAGGCACTAAGGGATCAGATGTTATTGGAACTCAGACTAGATGACTCAAGTCCATGACCCACACACTTATCCTTAGACAACTATGTGCACTGAGGGGATTTTTTGTCTTTGAAAATACATGAATCATTGCCACCTTTATTTTAAAAGGTACTAATACCAGACTTCTGATAATCTTTATTTGTAGATAAAGAACACTTCAAAGATTAAAAAGATGAAGAAAAAACAGCTTAAGCAGCTTCAAACAAGATAGGAATAAACAAAATTATTATTTTTTAATCAGATGAGAATTGGCACACTGTATAAAAAACATGCCACTTTTGTGCCGTGACTGCAGCATGCTGGTGATGTATTGCTGTATCAGTGGTTTCATTTCCTTACGGGCAAGTTTCCAAGACCATGCCATGTCTGCACTGAACCATGTTTTTAAACAATCATATGAATTTCACTCTATTCTGTAGYATTCACTGCCAAGATACTGTACAGTGATATTGCATTGGCACATGTTCAGATGTATAGAAGAATGAATTTATATTATTAAAATTATAGCTGTTGAAGTTTACTTCAAAAGTCATTTAAGTAAAAAGGGACCTTGAATTTAGTCTCAGTTGCCCAGATGTCTTGGTCAAAGTCCAAAGAAAGTTCTGAAAGTAAACTTCCAGACATGTGATACCACAGTTGTAAAATGATTTTTAAACATTTCTGTCAGACAATTTGTCACAGATACAGGCCTTTTGTGTACTTTTAAGTGTACATGTACCTCCAAAAACAATTCATTTAGTGTATTTAGTGTATGACAAGTATGTAAACCACTGCAACACCCCTTCCTATCTATAATATCCCTATGTAATGACTTACACAAAGAGCTATAGTTTTCAATTTGTTTATTTCTTGTCAGTTGTTGTAATAGGAACACCAGACACAACCTTTAACACACTACATATATGGTACATGTACATACAATGTAGATTCACATTTTGTTACAGTAGCACATCACCTTGAAATTATTTTCAAGCCAAAATGTATGGTATCAAATGTTAAAATATTTGTATTAAAATTCTGTTTGATTATTAGAGACAATGTAGTGAAAGACTTAAATACTCAATTATTTGTTTTTTCTTGGCCCAACAATGTTTTCCCACCATCCAAATCCCCAAAAATGCTGTTCATTAAACTTAGGAGCTTGCTTTCTGGACACCATGCGTCTTTTCTCATCCTTTGCCATTTCTAAATCACGTAGTTCCTTTCTCATTATATCATTACTCCATGACAAGTAACTCGCTTCATCCCCCCAGTCCGAAGATCCTGACGTTAGTGGAGTGCGTGGAAGGTCCTCAGATTCATTCTGATTTTCTTCTTGATCCTTTTCTAATAAATATTCTTTCCTTTTATGCTCCCTTTTCCTTCTACGGTGTTCAGAAGCATTCTGCTCTTCAGATGTGCCCACATAGGGAGTAAACTGCTGCTGTCTGTGCTGACAGTGCTGGTACAAATTACCCTGCATTTCATTTAAACGGGATATACACCTCTTGAATGAAAAGATTTCATCTTCACCAGTGAGAATCCCCAGAGACCTCAAGTTGAGATTGGTTAGTTGTAGATCGTATGCCATTTCTCCTATCATCTCTAAATGCATTTTGTCGTTGTATGAAGATTTACTTTCTTTTGGAATAAGCTGGAATAGTTCCTTTGGTTCTGACTCTGCTGTACAGTAAAGTTGTACCCTACTTTCATATGCAGCATCAACAAAGCTTAAAAGCCGGCGGGCTTCATTCTTTTGGTAGATGCTCAGCTGAGGAATTCCCTCCACAAATATGGTGCGATAAGCGTTACAGATAGTGATGTAATCTGCAGGACCAAGAGGAGCTTTACAAAGTTCAGCAAAAGTAAATCTTGCAACACCATTTGTTGAAGCTATTGGCACAATAACATGGCGGCCATAAACTTGCAGTGCTGTTCTTTTAAGTCTTGTTCCAGGACCAACTGCTTCACAAAATGCTGTATTAAAGACTTCCTCAGTTTGCTCATTGAGTGGATGAAAGTAGGTCTTCTTGCCAAGTGTTTGTGCATTTCGATAATCTAAACCTGTATCCAATGAAACTTCATCACAATTTTCCTTTAGTAAACCCATGAGTGATAGAATAGATTCTTGTGCTTCTGATTCACGGCCAAATGATGAAGCTCCTAGATCAGTAGGCGACCTGTTGGATGTTGCTACCACAACAAGACCTTTGTCAAACATATGTTGAAATACCCCTTCCAACAGACGCACTGCACCATAATCAGAGACTTGTACTTCATCAAAGCATAGCAACCAGGCTTGATCTGCTAAWTGGTTGGCAAGGGTTTCTATAGGTGTGGTATCAAAGGTACTCTCATCACTTGAACAGCACAAGTTCCAACGATTAAGTTCAGAGTAAAGTTGAAGCATGAAAGAATAGAAGTGGACGCGCTTTTTGTGTTTTGTGGGTATTGAATCATAGAAGATATCCATCAAGGCTGTTTTACCACTACCTACACTACCATATAGGTATAGTCCTTTGGGGACAGCACCTGTAATAAAGATGGGCCAATATGATCAATGATTGTATGCAACAACAGAAAACGGTAGAATGTAAACACTAAAAGTGAGCAGTGTACAGTAATTCCATAAATTATTAAAATTAAGTCCAATTAGCGCTATTTACTTATAACTACTGCCAAGCTGAAACTTTAAAATAATTTCTCTTGACTGTTTTAATAGTACATTGAGAGTGTTCAGTTTTACATGTAATATATATATAGTATATATATATACACAATCGTAGCTTTGTCGAGTAGCTTCGTTGCATTGAACAACAGTCATTCATACACTACGTAATSTAATATGTAAAACCTTACATTTTCTATTATCTGAAGAAAGCTGGACAGTGCTACGGTGGTAGTGAAGAGGATTACTAATTTTATTAAAAATGGCGATCAAATACAAGATACACAGGTAACTAATGTTTTTTTTTTTTTTGCCAAATTACATAGCTTAATAAGCTTATTACTGATCAGTAGCTTTGATTGTACCTTGATACTTTTGATGCGATTCTTGAGGATCGTAGTGCTTTACCCTATCATACAAATCCTGCAGCTTTAAGACAGCTTGTCGCTGATGTTCATCAGGTTTTAGGATGTTTCTGTTAAGGTAGGAACTGTATATTCCTAAAGGTCCTTCACACAAACTAGAATTGTATCGTCGGAGATTTTTCAACAAAACCAAAGTTGGGATCCGCTGAAYGTTTGCTCGAATATTCAACATTTTGCTGTGAAACATTTCTCTATTCTATGCTCTTGAGAATAAAGAAAGTTGGCTGTCTATTTCAAAATGGATAAGAAACATATAATCAAAGCTTCACCTGGGCGGCCATGTTTCTGAAGATTACATAACAAATCGTGATGCATTGTGGGACATATGCTATAGGGAGCCCAACCAGCRCTTGTTTGATTGGATATACCATTTCMTACTGAATTGGTGATAGACCATTAAAAAATATCTTTCCACTCTACAATAGTAAATAAAAAWTACATATCAGTGCCGAATATTCTCTAGAAAAGTCGTTTATTACAACAAACAACATTGGATTCTTAGTTTTTACAAAACGAGTTTATTTCTTAATTTGTTCTTCTAAATAGGCGTGCATTACCTTAATAAATTGTCAAGGTACTCTCTCATTTTAGTCTAGTGAAAATTTGAAATCATCGCCTTTTATTGGCTAAAAACTAAGGAGTATTTACACTTTTTATCATCGTAGGAAATTACCCTTCACAAGTTGTACGACTGCATTTGGCGGATATGAACTATATATGAACTCAGAATTTTTTTTTTCCAAAACACCGTCTCCTAGTGTTCCTTCTTGTATTTGGTGCGGACGTTTCAAAATACATAGTCCAGAGCACAGGTAGCCCAAGCACTGGACTTGGCAGAGAAAAACGAAAAGTTCAATATAAGTAGTAAAACTAAATAACATCATTTCAAACTAGAAATCCAGTGCTTAGGCTAACAGTTTCCAGAAAGAAATGCGTATTTCAGTCGTCCGAACTGTAAATCTCAATATTTTTCAAAATTATCTGGAATTGAGTAAACACTAAGGGTCTGTAACTCGGAAGGCTGAATATTTTTAATTACGATGTCATTAAAAAATTAATAAAATAATAATAATTTTTTATCACTTTTATTCACATGAATGTAACTTTGTCAGCTCAATATTTTTTGACATGCACGGAAATTTAGTAGCCAAGCCCTTGCATAGGGTCGAGGCGAGGCGGTGTTATTTAAAGAAGTGCGCCAGTGGAAGATTCTGAAGGATATTGCGAAAAAAATTAATTGTTTGTAGCTTATTAGTGTTATTAGTGAAGACATTGCTATGTACGATAAACATATGTGAATGGTTTTCAATGATACATGTATGTAACAATGATATCCAGTTGTTGAGAGAGATTAACTGGCTATCGTTTTTCGTTCTGTATTCCGTCAAACAAGGAATTCAAAAGAAAGTTCTCAATATATACGATTGGGTCAAATCAGTATGAAAAAAAAATACTAAAACACATTGGAAGCTTAGCTACAAGACGTAACCATCAAATCTTGGAGCTGTAAGTGGCAATGTACAGTGGTACCATTTTCTACAGCAGAGCATGACGGGAAATCTATAAGATACTTCTCGCACAATTATTTTTCTAATATCTTGTATTTCGTTWAAGTGCTTGGCTTTGGGTGACTACATTTTCCGACATACGTCGCTGCACACTGCATATTACACTACAGTTCCATAGCTGACAGAACCCCGACACTTTCTTCTAAATGTTTTCCTTTGTAAAAAAAATCGTTCAAATTATTCTCATTGAACTAGYTGTGAGTGACGTCAGTCACTTCCGGTGTTAGGGGGGATTTGTAGAGTTTGGTACGGTATTCCTTCACTAGATGGCGGCATGTACCGGGGTATATGTACCGGATATGGGGCATCGCGACGATCTCGTAACGCTGGAAAACCCCGGTAAACTGCTGTGGAATTGATTGGCGATGTAGGATGATTGACAGGCGATGTTCTAGAGTAGTTTGCAAGCCCTACACCTCCAGGGACAGTAGCCGTAATTGGTGATGTCATAACAGGTTGTGAATATGACTTATCCATGTTGTCCAAAGATAGACTGCTGACCATACTGCACTGTCGTCCGGCTAAAAAGTGTAAAAATAATGTAAAAAAATATTTACAATAAGCTATTAGATTTGTCAACTTTGACGCTTCTTCGCCTTCAGGCATCCTTTCTCTTCCAAACTTKTTGCTCTATTTGTCAAAGTATTTACACTCCGTCATTTTGTCGTCCGCCCGACCCTCCCACTTCGCTTCGTCCTCGGTTATCCTATCAATAGCATCACTTTTCAATTCTTCTCTTCAGATCCTAATGTCTCTCCGATAAAGCAAATTTTTCTCTCGTCTAATCCTTCCTCGCTCCCTCCTCTTATTCCCGCAAGACTACTTTTGCATTCTTCTTTCGACACGCGTCTCTCCAAAATTATCTTCGATCAGTTTCTTCCCAGTATTTCTCGTTCTTTCACGTCTCATGTCCTTTCTCAATGCTCTAGATTTTACTCTTCCTTTGTTATTCAATCCTTGTATCTACATTGAATCAAATCAAAGTGCTTCAAAGGTTTTACTCACCTATGCGTTCTTCTGAAGAAGGTTCTGTTCTTGTTGGTGAAGGGTACATGTCAGTGGATAATCKTTGTCGGCTACCGGTGGATGCTGGGATCCCTGATGAATCCATTTGTTTCATCACTTCTACAACGCTACAAAAATATCACGTATAGTTGTCAATCAGATATTCAAACATGCCCCCATCCTCCCTATGCCAGYATGCGCAGTGTATTGATAGTTTTCACCCATTCCCATGAGATTCAAAAGATAAAAGACCGGCGGCCATGTTGGAGGAATGAACAATAGATACTAATGAGAAATCCTTATATTCCTATATATCCTTATACGTAATTTGAAAACTAAGAATTGACAAATTTACTATACAAGTCATTCAATATTTAATTCAATCTTTTTCGAAATAAACAATAACAATTCTATTATGTTGTTTCCATTAATTAATTCACTATCTCATTGCCTCGGAATTAGAGGTCTTTTAAAGCCCGAGGTGCCTTTTGGGCCACTTACGGCTCGCTTTTCGAGATCTCATCATGCTACGATTCTTGCCTACAATTCAATCTGTATATTACTGCTTTAGAAAATAAAATGAAATTTAAAAATATCGGCTAAGCCTGATATTCTGTGAAAACGTCAGGTAAATTAATTTTAAATTAATTATAATTACAATTATAATTGTAAATTTAAGTTCCGGCACCTAGCGATTGTTTAGTTTTATTATGTGCTGTGCTATATTTCAAAACAACTGCCATCTAGATAGATGCATCTAGAAAGTTTAAACATTCATTCCTGTCATTTCTTTTGTTAACTTCGCTGATAAACGTATCCCTCACACGCAAACACAGATGGAGAAATACTGGCTTTATCATGAATTCTAAAATAGAAAATGCTTAAAATATAAGAAATCTGGCAGTCAGACATGTAGAATGACTCAMGATTATTGTTGCATTTATTCTGGATTACGGCGACACGTAGCTATGGTAATATCTTTATTAGGAATTTCTATCGCGTGCCGCAAATCCACATTCTGTTTGCGTTGGGTTTGACCTAATGGCACAGCGGTTACTCTAATATTGGTACTAATTCTTTATTTTTCAAAACCAACCCTTCATTCTAGGAATAACCATCTGGCATTGCTGTCTATGTTATTGAAGGTCATCTCAAGTTATCAAGATTTGAAAAAACCTGCCCTGCGGCAACGAACGAAAATCAKTGCGCACGCATTTTGCGTCGATGATAGCAGACCGACGTTTAACGAAATGTTACGAGCATGTTGCTGTGTTAATCGAATATTAATGATATAGCTACAATTAACCATAATCAATTTTGTCGACGCTAAGAAAACTAAAGAACGTTTGATACATAGTCCTTCCAGATGTTTTAGAAAGACGGCTAATTGYYATTCGTTCGATCCCAGTAGGTTCTTCTAGTTTCTATCAGACGCTTTTTAAGATAAGAACAAGTTTTGTGGGCACTTGACGCTTCTGTCTAGAGATTACAYATAAGACTGCCGACAGAAGCGATCTACTTACCAGTCATCTGGATCACAATCACGAAATCCTTTCGCAAAAGGGTTACTGGCAATTTTCAACTGAGTTATCTGAAAAGGAATCAACAATCCAGTTTAAAAAGATCCTAGGAATGGGATGATTCTAGATTGTCATAATTCCCCCATGAACGAAGCTGTTCAACAGTTGAAGGGGAAGAAGGGAAAAGGGAAAAAGGCGTGTTTAAGTGAGAACAGAGAAGACAATCTAGTTTCAGTATCTTTAAAATTCCCTCAAATCCACTTGAACCCTCCAGCTTATTCTGAGTAAAGCATTATTTATCGCCGATTTCCATCATCATTTTTGTACAAAATTACTTTATTTCAATAGCGTTTTCAACAATCAATTGCCTCGAAACCTTGTTCGGTTTTCCTTACGATTTGCAGCGTGAATGATCGTTTTATTTTGACAGGCAATCTTTCACATTTCATGATAGCAAAAAGCGATAATGCATCAAGTTACATGAATGACATTTCTTCTCGATAAATGTGTTTGTATTTGGGCAATTCTCAGWTAATTATCACTRTAAAAAATTGATAAAAATAAATCTTTGAATGATTTGCAGTCACCGCAGGTTGATARAACATCATTTTGGATCATTAACGTTGYCTGTCTWAMSTTTTMTGAATACAGAAGGGCGCGCGCGCTGTCTAGATAATCGATAATAAATAGCTATACAGTATGTGCAGCTAAGCTGCTATTGAGCGATAGAAGGTACACTCAACTCCCCAATTATAAAATAAGATGCATTTGGCGTTAATTCAAGAAATATACAGCTATCCCGAACACAATAAACAACATAGATATTTTGWTTTTTAGTTTAACTTTCTTTCGTGCAGTCATCTGAACTTCTCCACGAGTCATTAAGATTACAAATCTAATTAGAGAGAGGATTGATAACTCYACCTAACCCCGACCTCTACAAGAACATATCCAATCAAGCTAGCCTTACCATGTGATTTTGATAGGCTGTAACCGCCATGAATTGGCATTCACTGAAGACGAATGTACGAATATGGTCGCTTTTCACATCATAAAGACTTGCGCTTTGTTTTGCGTCGGGGGAAACGAGGACTACGTGAAAACGAGGCTGGTACTTGTGCATCGAATTCATGATGATCTGAAAAAGTGAATGAAAGGGAATAAGAATGAGAAATTCAATAGTTATAGTTATATAGTTAGTTATAGTTACATTTTAACAAGCGGTAGTTATCAGATCAGAAACTATAATTWTACTTAAAAAGTATTATACTCTAATTTACTAATAAATAAATAATAAATACTAATTTACTAAAGAAATATAAACGGAGCGTAGAGAGTGTTTCTCCTGCTTCTCGAGTGCTTTTCAACTCCCTCCGTGTTTATATCGAAAAAAATTGCCGGTAAGCCGTCTCGTCAGACAATCAGAGCGCGCGTTATATATTAAACATTTTATCTAAAAAATGATACAAACTTGTTTTTTTGTCAGGGGGTGACGAATTTTATAATTTTCATAATATTTTTGTATAAAAAATCATAACTCCACCTTAAAAATCATTATCAAAAAGAAAACAACAGGTATGTCGTGCTTTAAGTTGATTTCATAAAAACATATGTAAAAGGCAAGTTTTATTTCAGAAATAGTCCTTTTTTTCTCGTGTATAAATTCTTATATTTCAACTCACATGTCCATTATCATCCATAAGGTTATTAGTCAACTTTAATTTGTCAAATGACACGACTTGTTTCATCCACTGTGCGCCAGTACACGGTGAATCAGGGTGAATGTGCACGCGTCCGGGAACACTAGGATCAGCTTTTCCCGCCACTAACCACTTGGAACTATGGAAGGCGTAACGATATCGTTTATCRTCCACTGGYACAAAGTCCATCATKAGGATGTATTTAACATTGGGGTCCAAACCGTACAAACGAACTTGGAAAGGTGGAAACATTCTCCTACAAAATAAAATACAAATATTAGGGCAACTGTTAAGGATGTCTTGCTTTTTCCGCTATCACATTCCATGGAAATAAAACTTGTCTAGTGCTTTAGTTGGTCAAAGTGAGGCGATAATCAATATCTTTTCACTCGTGCATCAATCGTATTTTCCACTGATGACATCATCCTTGTTTTGGCATCGTGGTATTAATAAAGTCACTGAAATGGCATATAAAAAAAACTTATAAAAACTACGGATTACAGAGTTTTTTTGCATATTATTCGCTGTATAGAATTATTTGGAAGAACATTAAAGTAAGCTTCCTGCACAATAGAATGTGTAAACAATTTTTCTGTTGTAATCTGTCGTGTTAATCCCTTTCGGCCTTGATATTCTTAGTGATTGGCAGCTATTGTTTAGGAATTTTTGACTTTTCTTATACAATGCCATATATGGCAATTGCATTGTTTTCAAGATAGTATTCACATCACGGTATACAAAGAGATCTGTCTGCAAATAAAGTAATGATTGTTGTTCGCAAAAAAAGCCTGAATGGTTCAGTTTGTAACGTTGTCAGTTCCATAGTGCATATCGGGACATTATGCAATACTCAGCGACGCCATTTTCAACCACAACAAAAATAAATAAATAAAATGAAATAAAACACGATGGAAAATGTAGACCTCGCACCTTTTCATTTCTCCTAAATTTACATCCAAAATCCTTTTTGTGTTTCTTTATAGAAACGGCACAAAATTTCATCAGTTTTTACTCAAAGAATACATAAACAAACAAATATTGACTGTGGAGATTTTTATTGCAAAGAGTGCAAGGACTACACTTCCCATTATATTTTTGATCTTGGACTGAATATGGCTTCGCTGTACATTAATTGCGTGTTCTCAAAATGGCGCCGGGAAAAAAAGATTTTGGTGCTGCTTTTAAATTTAACTCGCTTTTGTAATTCATTTAGCTTCTCGATATGTCAGGGCATTTGCGATGACGGCTTTCACGATATAGACTCCTTTGCAGCTCATGGAAACGCAGTCCACCAACTGGGGAGATATAACAATAGATTGAAATTCTTTAAAGAGTAAAAATCTTTGCTACCCCTGATAGAGAGAGGTCCTTTGACGTAATATGCAAGCGAGTCTAATTCACAATCAGACCACAGGAGACCAGCTTGATCAATAAAAAAATCCTTCAAAGTCATTACGTGAAGATGCTGTCTTTCTAATCGAATTTTAATAGTTTTTCAGTGTAATGGCAATGACTATTAAATATTCGAAGAACCGTGGGGTACTGCMATCAATTCTTCAAGTGAATGACAAATGAAATACCTCAGGATTTCAGTAGACGATGTTTTCCAGATGTTTTGGATCTTCGATAGAAAAGCCAAATGTTTGTTAATGTATTGCTCAATTGAAGTTGGTTTGTAGGTTAAACATTGGGCAGTATCATACAAAATACTCTTTATTCATCACAATAAAATAAACTTCTTTGACGCCAATTACATAAAAAAAGATCCTATTTCCATTTGTCAAAGAGTTATGATGTGATATCCTGCATGTTGTAAACATTACAAAAGCTTAATCTTTCGGGTTAGTTTTCTTTATGAGTATTCAGAAAGGCATTTCCTTAAATTAAAGACATTGAGGTTTTCAAATAATTTCTTATTATCTTTTCATTAGTGGACTTTCTGCTTTATCTATAAGAAGTTATTTTGAGTGTAGAAATGACTTTTTCAATACCAACTATTCTTGTTGGCACTGGAAGCCGTCTTTATGTAATTCAYAGAGCAATTTTCGAATTCAACTCACTAAGGTCGACCTCTGCTGTTAAGAATGTCTCGTTGTCCTAAGACAACGAGGCCAACGAGATTATATTACACTATAAATTGCCTCAAGCTTGTCTATCTATCTATTTTGCGGGCGACGAAAGAAGAACCATCTAAATTTAACTGCAAGAGATACTAGCTGAGTAGCTTGCATTCAAAGGTGAACCCATTAAAATACTTTCCCTTGCGTCGTAAATGCTTTTGTCACGAAAACTGCCAGTGTTATAAGTGCCGGAGTATTCAAGTCGCAGCTGCATGACTCAGACTTCAAGTACGCACTCGYTCCTCCGACAACAGTCACATTAAATTTGAATCTAGAAAAGGTTTTTTCTTGGATGTTGTATGGTTTTGGTGAATGTATACTTTGTTTGAGGTCATCTCAGGCTCATTTTGTCACGTCCATTTTTCAAAGACGATTATTAGGGACAGATGAATGGCCGTCTCGAGCTCCAAGCTATTGTCAAGTATTTTTTTATCGATTATGAACATGATAAGCAACAAGACAGATAAATTCATTCCATACGGTTCTTGCTGGAAATTTAATGCAGGTAGATAACAAAGTAAACATAGCAGGAATTGAGCTCTGAGAAACTTAATAAAACATTCTCATACAGAGTGATTTAAGTTTGCAGATCAGCAGAGAACTTTACACGATGTCTGAAGAGTGTCTTATTCAGAGCTACAGTTGCCTTAAARCYYCMAWWAARRRRAWWAAAARKTTWMMWTTWATTTTTTTKRWWA